AGAGGAAGCACGTGCTGGCTTTAAGAGGAAATGCCAGCTGAGGCTTGTTCATTTTCCTTAAGTTATTTTGGGAAATGCCTGTTACCTACTTAAATTTTCGGTGCAGAATAAGGGTAGAGCAGTCGGAAATTGTAAATACCTTATTTCTTTCTTTCTTTATTTACTGACAGCTAGGATTAAGTTACAATAGAAAAAGAACATACCTTAGTCTGAGAAGTGTGCCGAGTCCACTTGTTTTCCTGACAGGTGATAATTACCTCTCTTCATGGGATTGTGAGGATATTTTTAGAGACAAGAATGGGTGGAAGGACTGTACTGGGTGTGTGTGTGTATGTACATGCATGTGTGTGTATTTGTATATATATTTTGTGTTTAGCTGCCTCTATATTGATAACCCTTTTCATTTCTCTATAGCCCTCCACAGCCTTCCCGAAGATTCTTTCCTCCCCCTATGCCACTCTCAAAGCCAGGTGAGAACAGTTCTCTAATTCTGTACATCACGTGTCTGCTACTGAAAATGAAGGTTGTGGTGTATTCCTAAGCTGTCCAGGACACCAAGAAATGTCCTGGAGTGAAAGTCGCAAAGGGCATTGGATCTGCTTTTGCTGGCTGCCTTCCTTGTTGTATGTTCTTTTCAACCTCGTCTTGCAGGAAGCGCTTCTTAGTTTATTAAATGGTAGAATTTCATTCCTGAGGTGCTGACCATATTCCATGAGATCTGGCTACAGCTCTTTATGTGCTTACTGAGCACTTGACTGGAAATTTGCTTATTCATTAACCGCTTCATCTTTATGCTCTTTAACATTCTTGTCTAGTGAGTCAGTCTTGTTGAAATGTTCCTTGGGTTTTCTTTGCTTAACTGTGATAATGCATGCTGAACTCTTTTGTGGTTTTTTCCATTTCATCTTTTAATTTCCTCATTCTCCAGCTTTCTCTCACCTGCATATTTCTACCATCCTTTTTTTGTGTGTGTTCCATTCCCTTTGCAGACCATGAAAGAAAAATAGAGTTGATTAGGTATCTTATGTCTGGCTATGTAAACGTGCATGTGCTGAACACGCTATCCGAGCATGCCAACGTGCTTGCATCCTCTGCTGTGGCTGCTTTCCAGGATGGAGCTGACCAGCTGCCACCTTTTCTCTTTCTGCCTGTTCCCAGTTGTCAGAGTGAGAGGGCTCCTAAACGAGATGGTTAGTAACCAAACTTGATCTATGGTAGATGTAGAAGTAGTTCCAAAACGTGATTCAAAATTCCTTTTTCCTTATCTTTATCATGTATTCTTGGGACTGGAAACTGCCATCATTGCAGTCTTGGAAGGATGATGCTGTGCTTAAGTTTAGGGCTATTCTAGAGAGAAATATAGACAGTCTGTAAACTCCAGTGTGCTAAGTATCACAGATTTTTCTGTGTCACTGGATCTGTTCCCTGAAACTTCTGGATCTCTGACTTTTTTGTGTTCTGTACATAGTTTTGTGATACCGGGATGAGAGATGCTGCATATGAAAAACCAGCTAGCTATAGAGGAAACGTTCTGCTATGTTCTATACAGGTTTCCTTTTTGCTCATCATCTGTTGTTTGTTTTTTGTTTTTTTTGCCACTAACAGTGCTGTTCCTCACTTACACTGCATTCTGTTTTATTTAAAAAAAAATAAAATAAAAAAGACACGCTGGTTATTGACTGTGCCAGAGCAAGTCCATGAGAACTTCTTCAACTGCCTTTCATGTTTAGTTGAATGTGTCTTCCTGTTGGTTTTCTGTTCTGGTGCTTTTGAGTTTCTCTACTTAGCAATAAACTTGAGTGACTTGTGTGTTTGATGTTCCTCTTGCTGTCAACAGCAGTGAGTCCAGTTGTAATGCATTTGTGATGATACGATGAGTGACTACCCTGAGGAATGAATGGGAAGCATAAATGATGACACTGAAGCTTGCTACCTAGTGTGATGAAGTTGTAGTGCTGTGAATAATTGATTCTTGTAAAATCTGTCCCTCTGAGGTAGCTGCTGTTTTACCCAGAAAAGAAACAGAATTCACTTTTTTTTTTTTCCAAAAGAGGGTACACAGGCACACCTCTAAGGACCTTTCTTAACTGCGGACTGTTATGCCCTTCCAGTGCATGGGAAATTAAGTCATGGTGGAAGCTGAAGGATACGCAGAGGTGTGAAGATAGGAGAACCTAAAGAACACTTGAGCAAGGGGCTTGAGAGGCTAGAAGGGAAAATAATTATTTGGCTTAATAAAAGCAGTGAGGTTAGTATGTGAAGGGAGAGAAAATGGAAAATGAATTGCAGAGTTACAAAAATAGCTGTCAGAGTACACAGGGACTAAGCTTTTAAAATATTCCCATTTACAAAAAATGAAATGAGTGAACAGGTAAGAGAAGTAATGTGATGACAGCTAAAAGGTGTGATGTGAGTGTGTGAAGGAATGTCAGATTATTTCTACAATTTCAGTTATCCCACTATTTTTTAACATGGTTTATTCCTGCATTTGTATGAAAGGAATTAAGAGAGGATTTGGCCAGTAGTAATCACGTAACACCAAAACATAAGGAGCTCAGTAACATACTTTGGCAGGATTATGGCTCTGGGATAAGTCTTACTCAGCCTTTATACATAGACATTATCTTACCTAAACTGGTACAGCAGAATAGCAGTTTGTCACATGAAGAAGCGAACACCGAAGTTTTAAGCTCTGGGTTTTTATTTTTCTTTTCTTGTGTGGGGAAGGGGAAATCTGTACTTTATGGCTGAGTAATGTTGCAGATGAACAGACCTAAGCAATTCTAAATTGCAAACCGTTAAGCTGTAAAGTAACTGATGCTCATTTGAGGAAACTTCTGTGGATCTAGAGAGACTGCAGATTTTTACAAGCTTTTTGGATACGCTTTTGTTCCATTATTTAATAAAAATCTAGTAATTTACATTTAAAAACTAACGCTTTGAGAAATAATGATTCCTGTAAGCATTTTCATGGAAAAAGATGTGGTCCGTATAAGTACATAGAATACATAAGATCCCTGAAATGACATGTTTCTGTGAGCCCTAGGGTAAGCTTTACTTGTTCAGTCTTTGTAAACCGTTCTTTGTTTTCTTCTTCTTTCTTTTTTTCATCTCTTCAAGTGCCAGCTACAAAGCTAAATACTATGAGCAAACCCAGCTTGGGCCAGAGCGTGAGCAAATACGACCTCCTTGTGTGGTTTGAGATCAGTGAATTGGAGCCAACAGGGGAGTAAGTTCAGTATTAATCTTTTATGTTTTAAGAACAGTGGTTTATGGGAGTTTCATCTTTTACCATTTGTTCTGCTCAGAGCGGGCTGATGTTTAGCAGTCGTTATTGCTTGATGGCCTGGTTGGTTTGTGTTGATTGGGTGTAAATTCTGCTGGCATTCATTGTCCGCGTTGGAAAGGACTGAGGAGTAGAATGACATTCTTTCACACTTGAAGTAATCTTTGGAAGTCCATGCACAGTAGCTGAACAGGTGCTGGGAAAAGTTATCCCATGCAGGCCAGGAGTTTCGATTATTTGGGTCACTGAGACTTTATGCTCCAGAAGTCATCTAGCAGGCTCTATTTTATGGTCACCTGTTAACAGAGAAAGTTTTCCTCTGACAGGGCTTTAGGGGTTATGTTGAGAAACAAGTTCTACGATTTTCCAGAAGTACTGGCAGTACAGTACACGATACTTCTATATTTCACTAATACTATGGTGCAATAAAAAGTATTTTTTACTGCAGTCTGAGGCAGCAAAACACTCTTATTTCTTCAGCTGTTATACGGAGAGGACACTGTTGGCAGCAGAATACAGAGTAAAGTTTCTGTGCTAGTGTATCTTTCCTGCCTGTTGATTTCACTGTCTCACACAGGTATATTCCTGCTATTGTGGACCACACTGGAGGCCTGCCCTGTCAGGGGACGTTCCTGCTTCACCAGGTACTAATGAAGGCTGTAGAACAGCCAGTTTCCTCTCTGGGGTGGGGGTTTACGATGCTAATGACTGGATTTTGCCTCTTTCATGTCTTTTCCTTTCCCACACAGCTGTCTAACGATAGCTGTAGGGTCGGTCATCTTTCAGTCTCTACTTAGTCTGTTCGCTTTGGGCTATGAGGAGAATATGTCTGCCCCTAGTATATTGCTGTTTCCTTTGCTTATCAGTGTGCATCCCACTCCTGAAAGATGAAAGCCTATTAAAAAGAAGGAACCTTTGGCACCAGATTTGTGCCTTCAGTGTTCTCCAGCATCTCTACCAAGGACACAAAAGGATCATGTGGACTCAACTTCCATTGGTTCTTTCTCACTGTGTGTGGCTATGAGACAGGTCTACAAAATGACCATGTCTCAGTGCATATTAAATGCCTGTAATAATCCTTAATAATATTTTTTCTTTAGCTAGATTCTAAAGATAACCCTGGTTAAATACTGTTTATAGGTTTATGTTATGTTTTTTCTACTCTCAAATTCTTGGTTCCTTTTCATAGAGTTTACCTGTGACTTGCATTTCCTCTCTTCCTTGAAATGATAGGAACAGTTATTACAGCTTAGGAGTAATAGTCATAGTCCAATAATTTCCTTAAAAAATTAATAAAAATGTTACTCAGTTCTGGGTTTATTAGTGTCCTCATCAGTTACTTCCAGTTCAAACCAGAGTAATTCTAGCCTCTGTAATTCCATTCCCAAATCCACAATACAGGCAAACATCTTTCAGCTTCTTCTGAAACAGTTACACACAAAGCACCTTCTCCATGGGTAGTTGTCTTCTGCGTTTGGAAGAGTGGAATCTTGCAACCGACACCTGGGGAATTTTTCAGATGTGGTGTTTATTTCTATTCTACAATTTTACTTTCCCAGCTGTTACAGAGTTTTACTATATTTTGACTTGCAACAGATGCATGTGACAAAGGAGGAGAATATCTGCATGAGTAGTTGCTATTTTCTAGTAACGTCTCTTGGTATATACACTTTAATATAAAATATATGAGCACACATTTGCTTGGTTTTGTGGTCAATTCTGACCAGATACGTTGTCAACTCTGACATATCTTCTCTGAGAGCGTAGCAACAATTTCAGGGCTATTTTAGGTTAAAAAACCTCTGCCTTTGTGGAGTGAGGAGGGAGAAGTGTAATTTCTGTTACATACAAGAATATAATATTCCTCTCAATTTTAGGGCCCTGAAACACAGAGGTGCTTGTTCACAGTTACAGACTAATTTAAATGATGTTACTCGCTTTGTTTTTTGCAGTATAAGTGCAAAATAGATGATGTTAATGTGTGTGTGTGTGTGAATACTTCACCAGTGGTTTTTTGAACTCTACCAGGGAATCCAGCGTAGAATCACAGTCACCATTATCCATGAGAAGGGCAGTGAGTTGCACTGGAAGGATGTGCGAGAGCTGGTGGTTGGTGAGTACCTTGTTTTGCATGTTGCTATGTAAGGAAGAAAAAGTACTAATTGCAATTTCTCTTTGTATCAGATTCTGTTGTCTTTATGAGTATTGGCTGTGAGAAGAGGATTTTGAAAGAGATCCAGAGGAAAAACTTAAGTTTTGCAACTTCTGCTTACAGCTGCTTGTCAATCACATAGTCTGAAATGATATTTGGGAAAACAAATTCTTTCTGTGTTTCAGGTTTAGTTTTAATTGATTCCCCCTCCTACCCTTTTCAGGGCGTATAAGAAACAAAGCAGAGGTAGATGAAGCTGCTGTGGATGCTATTCTGTCTTTGAATATTATCTCTGCAAAATACCTGAAGTCTTCACACAGCTCCAATAGGTAAGTGAATAAAGTGAGCACTCTAGCAGGAATCTAAAATTTCTTTGACCTCTGAGGTATTGGCAGGATGTTTGGAAAGCTGAGAATGTTGCTACCTAAGTGTAGAATTCCATGGGCACAGCGCATACAAATAGAGGACAATTCTTGCTAAAGCTGAAGTCCATTGGTCTACGTGGCAGATCTCTTGATAATGCATTTTAATTACTTTCCATGTATAAGCACCATAAAGGGAGGATGGAAAGGAACAGCTTAAGGGAATCTCAGAATTTAACTCAGAACTTTTAAACTGACATCAAGGTCTGTTACTAGAATACAGCGTTGAAGTACAAGGGCAATCTCGGGTGATAGATTTATGGATGTGTACATACCTATATTGTTCTTGGAATAGGCATGTGACTAAGCAAGAGCCATGCTTTGTAAATTAAACTTCATAATTTGTGGATTTATACAGATATATCACAAATTGACTCCAGTTCTAATAAGGGCGTGTCTGTTCCATGTAACTGCCGTCGTTTGGGCAACAGCAGGGCCCCTGTCTGAGAGGTTTCTGGCTGCATGTGTCTCCTCATTAGGGTGCATCGCTGCAAAGATCAGTCAGACTCCACGTTGTTTTGCTTCAGTGTCTGCAACAAAGGGCAGCGAAGCAGAATGTTGCCGGCACAGCCTCTCCCTGCTCTGACATCAGCCAAGTCACTTGACCACTCCGAGGATCTGTTTAGCTGGTGCAAAGCAGGAATATCTCTGAAATTTAACTCTGGAGGGTTTCTGGAGGGGAGGGGGTTGTTTTGGAGCCCATCCCCGCTGCAGCTGCTGGATGCTGGAGGCAGTACCCTTCTAGGCGCTGAAATGGCTTCTTCCTTCTCCTTCAGAGGCTTGGGCTTTGAAACACCACTGCGATGCTAAAGGTGGAGTCAGGCCGCAGCTCTGCCAACTGAGTGTCTCCCTGCCACCTAGTGTCTGTAGATGCACAGTGGCAGGGGGTCGGAGCAGCCTTTCTTTGTCTCCCACTGAGAAGTGGATATTTTAGTGTATTTGCGTTAATGGATCAGTATCATTGGAGCATAAGGGGACTGATGCTCGTTTCCAGTCTTGTACTGTTGAAGTTGGAAAGCCCTATACTTTCTGTTCTCCAGCAATTTCAAGAAATTCCTATATAGCTCTGTAGTTTTCTGTTAGGTGGGCCACTTGGGTGAAGGGTGAGTGGGAGTGAGGTGAAGCTGTTGACCATCGCTTACCAAAATGCCAAGGTTTAAGTGGTGGGATGAGTGCATGGCAGGGTGGTGGAGTGGGATTGAAGGCCTGGTAAGGGATATGTCTTATGTTTGCTCATTGTCTGCAGACTTAATGTGTGGTTGGTGTGGTTTTTGGTTTTTTGGTTTTTTAAGTCCATTTGTTCTGTTCCTCTCAGCTGTTGCTTTTCTGTTCTGCTTTTGGCTGCACTAACTGAAGCTCTTTCTATGTTTTTACAGGCTCTTTCTTGATAAGGATATGCCTAGGTATTTTCTGTTTGCTTCCTTTGTACATAAAGGTTCTTGAAAATAGAATGCTTTATGTCCCATTTGTATTGCTGCCACTTCCCTTTTACTGAATTCTGTTAGCACGCCTCTTAGCTCTTCCAGAAGTAGTATACCTCCTCCTCCTCCTCCTAGTCAGGGGTTTTTCAGGTACAATTCAGTTAGGGCACTTGTGAAGGTAAACTTCCCTTCACATGTAAAAGATACCCAGTCTTTGCGATTCTCAAAATGTGCCATCAGAATACAGTCCCTATTTGTAGTGCTTGCCATTTTATTCCTTTGTTCTGTATCAAAGAACTAAATTTGGAATTTTGTACTGTCTCTGACTCTGTAATGCCTGCCCTGTCTGAAGTACCAAGGGCTGAATGATTAGGTTACTTGAAATTCCAGCTCAGAATTGCACTGAACAAAAGCAGTGGCTGCCATGTGACTGGCATTCAACCTCTGTTCTTAGGTTGGATTTGCATCTGAAGTTTAACCCTGTGGTTGCTAGTTCTTAGTTTACCTTAGCTGACAGAGAAGTGAGACGTGTAGTAGCTGCTCAGACTGGATTCCTCTTTCACCTTCCAGACTGGATCACAGCCAAGCATGCTGACTGCACAGTATGGGGCAGTTTGCACTCTGCTTTCTCTGTTCTGCCTCTTTGAAAAGGAGAAGACTTTAAGTCTTCAATGCTCTCAATTCACCACCCTTCACTAATGCTAAAATCCACTTAAAAATCAGTTCTAACTGTACATTGTGCCTTTAACCTATCTCTCCTGTTTTCCATGCTTTGCTTGTTCTGTGCTCCATTTTCCTCCTTGCGCTATTGGCAACGCTGTAAGAAGTTTGCTCACTTCTGGTTTTTGTCTCCCTCTATAACTATTCTAGCAAGTTCTGCTCTGGACAGGCAAGACTGTGTATGTTTAACTTCCTGGCTAGACAAAATCTAGTAGAGTAACTGTCTTGAAGCGAACTGTCTTCCACTTGGTGTTCATCCAAAAATGATTTTGCTAAAGAGAGGCATTTAGTTCTGCAGTGAGAAACATTTACACCTGTGTTCTCTCTTCATGATGAGAAGTTGTGTTTGGCAAATGGTGCAGAGCTGATTCAGGGGCTAGGTACACTGATGAACCAGGTTTTATTGCTTTTTCTTCCACTCAGTAGATTTGGAGCTTGCTGAGAGCTTAAAAAATTGCTTTTGTAACTAAGACATGATGAAAGGTGAAAACACAGGAACTCAACACAGATTTGTAAAGGGTTAGAGGACAACCTGTGTTGTTTGCCTAACAAACTCAAATAAGGATTATCACATTACAGTGCTTTTACAGTTAACAATTACTTAGCCTTTAGAATCTGTTTCTCTGCAGCATTTTTAATAAAGCAGGTAATTTGGAAGTAATTTCTTAAGTATGCTACTTCAAAATTCTATTACTTGACTGCACTGTTCATGGTGTCTCAATGTATTAGCTCGGAATTGTGTAATTGGTGTCAGGAAGAGGGAATTCTTGGGAACTCTGAGATCAGAACTCTGTTTCTGGTATGTCTGCTCTTAGGGCGTTTCATATGTTGGTTTGGGTTTTCTTATTTCTTTCTTCCACCACCCCCCTGCTTTTTGTCATTTGTCTTTGGTTTAATTTTCTATGTTTTGAGTTGGCCTTGGGTATTAGTACAGAAAGTCTTCAGAGATGTAACTTACTTTAAATATATATATATATATACACTCAAAGCACTTCCTTGCTTTTAGTACCACATCATTTGGACTTGAAATGGGATGGCAAACCTCAACACCAAGGGGATTTGAGAGGGAAAATATATGGGGTTGATGACAAATTAATAGCTTATTTTCCTGTTACCAGTGTAGAAAAGCATGCTGTATTCCTGAATAAGGGTACAGGACTTCTTTCCAAAGGAACCTACATGAAATCAGTCTCTGCCTGTGAGAAAGGAGAAAGTTCATTTCCCTAAGCCCCTGTTAGAGATCAGAAAGCATCTGATGACTTAGCTGTCCTGTGTGTGATGCTGACTCTCACTTTTTTACTTGAACAGATGAACTTTCATGATTGCTGGGGTAGAAATGTTGGAGCCTTCAGCTCCTTTCTTCCCATGTACCAAACTGAAGAAATCTCTTACAAAAGTTTGTGTTAGACCTGCAAGTTTTTACTTGAAGCTACTAGAGACATAGAAAGAAATCTTTATCACTTGAATGTAAGAATTAACCCTACCTATCGATTGTTCTGATTTGCTGTCAGAAGCTGCTGGGTTTATCAGACTACATCTTAGAGGGATCTCTTCTGTTGCTATATGTTAGTCTTAAAATATGGTGTAAAATGAATGTTGCTTATAAAAAAGAATTTTCCCATGCACTTTAGAGGTCCAGCTGGGCTGAATTGCACCTGCAGCAAGAGAGACATTCTGTCTGTTTAGGAACACCGTTCTTCAGTGCTGACTTCCCTGTAGTGTTACGACAGCTTTTGTTCTCTTTTGTATTCCCTCTTTTCTCTTTAGATTAGTCTTTTTTAGAACAGGCAATTGAGTCTTATGCCACGCTATTTGAGGCAGAAGTAATTTTAGGATGGAAGAGAAGGCCTTTGCCTCAAGTATTTGTTGTCTAAGCCACTGGGAGTCATAGTGGATGATGGCAAAGAAGAGATACTTTACACTGGCCTGTGAGAGGGATGCAGAGGAACTCTTACTATTGAGCTTTTACTGTACTTTTTTCCAGGACTTTCTATCGGTTTGAAGCAGTTTGGGATAGCTCCTTGCATAACTCACTTCTCCTCAATCGAGTGACACCATATGGAGAGAAGATCTATATGACCCTTTCTGCTTACCTGGAGGTTAGAGACCGGTGCCTTCCTTTTTGCTTGTGACTTAAGTATAACTATTGGAGACAGCAGACAGTGTGTACCCGAGATGAATAGTGGACTAAATGATTTTGAATCCTGAAGCCAGTGAAAGTCCTTATTAATTTTCTGAGAACAGGGTGGAAAAATGTATTCACAGTTAACATCTGTCAAGGTATTACTGCCTTGCAACAGGTGTGAAGTGCAAGTGGTGATCCTCTTACCTCTCTGTGCCTCGTTTTATCTGTCTTTGCCTCTGAGAATCCATTGAAAACAGTGAAGGTTGCTATGTACTACCAGTGTTACAAACACTGGCCTAGCTCTTGGCTTTGTGTGCAAGACATGGTTGTTTTGTGTAGTACAATTACTTCACCCACAAGATGCATCAAGAAATTCCACAGTTCTCTTTCACAGAAACACATATGAAAACGCTTCACCAAAGACCCAAACAAGAACAAGCTTCAAAAAGCTGTCCCACTAAAAGAGCGAAGCAGTACAGCTTGGCATAGTTGTCTGCAGCCACTCATTCATGACTGTCTTTTCTCTTAGCTTGACCACTGCATCCAGCCTGCTGTGATAACGAAGGATGTTTGTATGGTCTTTTACTCACGAGATGCCAAGATCTCCCCACCACGATCACTACGCAATCTCTTTGGCAGTGGCTACTCTAAATCTCCAGATTCGTAAGTTCAGTTGCCAATTTTGATATCAATGTTTTATGTCAGCGTGTGCTTTTTCTCTTAGAGGGCATGGGGAGAATGTAGCTTAGTTTTTATTTCTTCTTTGAAAGTCTACCTAGTTACAGTTCTCCAGTCTGGTTTTGAGCGTACCTTCTTGCATTTACTTCAGTGAAGCTCTGATGGCTTCTCTCTTTACTGACCCCTTTTCCAGCCTTCTTTCTGACTGAACAGCTGGGAAGAGAGATCCATTTTTCAAGCTTGCGCATAAGATTCCTCACCTGGAATTTGCTGCAGCAGCTGCTGTCTGGGTCTAATGGGGGTGTGGGGGTGTGTGCGTGCAAACATGGGGGAAATGCCATTTTCAGAGATCTTGCTGTCTCTCCTGGCTATTTTATGTCAAGATCAGAATTCAGATGTAGTTTTAACTAGCAACTATACTTAAACTCCCAATTTGCGGACCACTTCACTAAAGCTAATGCACTTTATTTCTGAAAATAATAGTTTGGTATTTTTCCCCCTCTGCTTTCTTGTGAACAGCAATCGAGTAACTGGGATCTATGAACTAAGTTTATGCAAAATGGCAGATACAGGAAGTCCAGGTAAGCAGTGACTGGGTGTTCAAGTGATAAAGATGCTGTAAACTGAAGTATTTCATAGGCAGAATGGAGTAAATATTTCTGTCCTGATAGGAAGCAGTTCCTGTGTTTCACAGGAGCAATGGAACATGGCTATTCTATAAAAAACTTACACAGGCTCTTACTTTTGACTTGGGTCTGTGTTTACCGTTGGTGAAGAAAAGATTCACTGAAAACTTACATTTTCTAACATAGGTTTATCAGAAAAAGTGGGCATTTGCCTGAGTCATAGACTTGGGGGGCTTAATACCTGGCTCGTAACTAACACAGTTGAGACTTGGTTTTGCAGCAATAGAGTTTTCTCTTGGTCTTTTGAAGCTATTGCTGATATCTGAGGCAAGCTTGATAACTTGGAAGGAATGCAGGTCATGTAATATCAGTATATTTTTCCTCAAAGACCGAGCAATTGAAGTTCTTGTATTGAATTAGACTGGGCAGGAGTTTGCAGTATATCGTCGTCAGTAGAAAATACCTGAAGGAAATGAGAAAGCCGGACTAAATCGAACCTCTTTGGGGTGTGTGATTGTTTTTACCCTGTATATTTCCAGCCAAACAGCAGAAGTGCTGGTTCTTTGCAGATTGCTAATTGGGTAAGTGTTTCTTAGTGGCCTCCCTCTGGCTATGTTTTTAACATGTCTTGTGTTGGTTTTTACTGCTTAGGAATGCAGAGGAGGAGGAGGAAAGTCCTGGATACTTCTGTGGCATATGTGCGAGGAGAAGAGAACCTGGCAGGTTGGAGGCCCAGGGGTGACAGCCTCATTCTAGAGCATCAGTGGGAATTGGAGAAACTGGAGCTGCTGCATGAGGTGACTAAAGAGATAGGGGAAGTGAGAGCAAAAAGCACAACTGTACCTTTGAATTTGCCCTTAGTCTACCCACTGTGAGACCTTCTGAGCTGAATGGGTTCCCAAATGGGAGTTTGTTCTCAAAGTCAAGATTTAAATAAATTCTCCAACAGAGAAGATAGAAAGTGTGTGGCTGGCTGCCGAGTAAAATCTTCATCTCTGAATCTCAGTGTATTCAACAGAGGCAGATTCAACTTCTAGTGCCATTGTAAACTCCTCTCCTCAGGGAAAATGTTTGCTGGTATGAATCTTAACAGAATGCATAAGAATTCAGTGCCTGTAAAATAGGCAACGTCCTGGAGCAGATGGCACTGATTTCTTTTCTTACTAGGTGGAAAAAACCCGACATTTCCTTCTGCTTCGTGAAAAGCTTGGTGACAGCATCCCCAAGTCCCTGAGTGACTCGTTGTCTCCCAGTCTGAGCAGTGGAACCCTCAGTACCTCCACCAGCATTTCCTCGCAGATTTCGACTACAACATTTGAGAGTGCTGTGACGCCCAGTGAGAGCAGTGGCTATGACTCAGCAGATATAGAGAGCCTGGTGGATCGGGAGAAAGAGCTGGCCACTAAGGTATAACATGAGAAAAGCATCATGGGTCTAAATTGAGGTGCCAAAGATGATTAAAGATTAATGATGAGCTTCTCAGATAGCGTGGTGAATATCCAGTATTGTGAGAGTTTCATTTTAATCTGCTCTATAGTGAAATAATCCATTCTCACTGGCCCATGCTGGTGGCTAGGTTTGTGCTTTTGGCTGTACCTCATTCCCCTTCATTAGTAGTTCTGTAAACGAAACTTTCTAATTTTATGAAGGGAAGTGATTATTCCCCTTGTCTTCTGGGATTTTTCTCAGCAGTTTAGGATTTGTTTATTCTTTCAGGAGCTGCCAAGTGTGTCTTGGCAACTTGCCTCTTGTGTTCAAATTTCTCTGAAGATCTGAATGTGAATTTCTTTTCTGTGTGTTGTTGTTTTTCCCCGCCTTAGTGTCTGCAGCTTCTTACTCACACTTTCAATCGGGAATTTAACCAGGTGTACAACAGCATCAGTGATTGTAAGGTAAATATGTCATGCAATACAATACGCTATATTTGTAGTACAGTAGCAAAATATTCATAGTTTGTGGAATCTGTTGATATTATGAAGAGACAAAACGCTTCGTATTAATGGTCTTCTTTTCAGTCTGTTGGAAGCATTTGGCTATTCAGCATCAGGTTCCAAAGACCATTGCAGGAATTGGAAATAACGTGAACTTGGGCTGTAGTATAGCTTCTAGTTTA